TCAGCAGAGGGATCGGCCGCTTCCCCCGTGCTGTCTGTTTAGGCCGCTTGTAGGCCTCAGGTCGATCCCCGGGATGTCTTCGCTGTTTTCGACTGCGTTCTTGTGTATGCTTTGTCTCTGTGGTAAGCCTGCATCTCGATGCTTTTTCAGTGAGGAGCTCTTCTGATGTGCGGCCGTTTGGCTTGGCTGCTAGGCTCCCCCCTCAAAATGGACTTTTGAAGTACGTGAATGGACTATTTGTTATAATATTCCATTAATCCCTTAAGACTGCAGCCAAATGTACAAGTTGTGATCAAAACAAAAAGTAAACAAAACCTGGCATTTGTGCTATATGTCTGTCCAACCGTAATTCACCTCTTTCATATTAAATGCACCCACACTTATTATACATCATTTTTTTCAGGGGAAACAGGGCTTTCATTTAACATCAACTATTTAGGTATGGAACATAATTTAATATGAATGAAATATAAAAAATGGGAGAAAATTCGATTTTTAAAAATTTTTCTTAGTTCTACGTGACATTTTTGAAGGAATTGAAACAGTTAATCAGTTAGTATTGTAAAAGTTGAATTATTTTGCAAATCTAGTAGCAAGCTCTTTAGCAGAACCACTTACAAAACATAACTGAAAGGAAGTCACAAGCTATAACAGTTTCTATGTAACAGGATGCGCTTAGCAACAAAGTAAATGTGGTATTTTGCAAGATTAGATTATTGCACGTAACAGCAGAAACGACTTCCTTTTTATACATTTTATGTACATTTTTTTTTAAAGTCTAGTTTTTTTTGTTTTTTAATTCTTTATTTTTTTCAGTGCATAAGAGTGGTACATGTGGTTCTGAGGTGCCACAAAAGCAATCCTCAGGCATTTCCTCGCTTAACATGTGGGGCATAGAAGTAACAGGCACAGTTTTATATTTTAGATAGGCTTGGTTAAGTAGATTTACACCGATTATAATAGTAGAGGTAACATGTTAGTAATATGTGGATCACATAAAGAAAATATGTACACAGAGTTATGCAGGTGAGTAATCTCATCGATAGGGAGACATATTTGTGTTTGAAAAAACAGAGTAACATGATATACTATCGTTGATACTTCAGCAGGGCAGTCGTTAGAGTATGCTAGACTAATCAAAACAGTGTCTTGTAAGTGAACGTAAGTGATTGTAGTTGCATGCACCGGTAGGTATTAACTTTCCTATGATACAAAGCAAATATAACTTCGTTGGTGATAACTATTCTATGGGGACTAAAGGGGGGAAAGTGGACAGCAAGACAGAAGACAATCGAACCCCTAATGGATAATCAGGGACAGTAAGCATAGTATCAGTATGCCAGCTTGTTGCAAGTGTCCCCATTCACCCTATATCAGAGGTCGGCAGGCTTTCAGCATTGGTCTGGGAGCATTCAGAGGCATTCCGTGCAATAGCTGTCTCCTGTCTTGCGGCTGTACAGTTCCAACTGCGAGCAGCCGCTTGAGCTGGCCTCCCGGCTTGTCTGCGTGCATGTCCCTGGTCTTGTTGAGCGGGCTGCGGTACGTAGTCTCGTGGGTGTGCTCGGTATTGCGAGCCGCGTAGACCCTTCCACCTTCGGGTGCCAATACACCGGGTTTGTTGGGGTCTGCTCCTCCCTCTTTTCCTCCTCACGGGGGTGTTGCCGAGACCTCTATGCTTGTCAGGGCTCCGATGGGCAGCAGTGGGTGCATGCTTCTCGGGTGCGATGGTTTGTTGCTGGTGTGTAGCCAAAAAAGCTTATAAACACTGGGTATTTTTAAACTCAGGACAAAATTTTTAATCTATTTAGCAGTTTTTTTCATTCGCTTTTGTAGATGAGTAAAAGATTTTTCAAGTAAAAGTAAAAAAAAACATGTATTTTGCAAAGACTTTAATTAGTCCCTAGCCTTATCTTATAGTTAGGATAGCCTTATGCCTATCCCACGCATGCTTAAACTCCTTTACTGTGTTAACCTCTACCACTTCAGCTGGAAGGCTATTCCATGCATCCACTACCCTCTCAGTAAAGTAATACTTCCTGATATTATTTTTAAACCTGTGTCCCTCTAATTTAACACTATGTCCTCTTTTTGTGGTAGTTTTTATTCTTTTAAATATAGTCTCCTCCTTTACTGTGTTGATTCCCTTTATATATTTAAATGTTGCTATCATATCCCCCTGTCTCGTCTTTCCTCCAAGCTATACATGTTAAGATCCTTTAACCTTTCCTGGTAAGTTTTATCCTGCAATCCATGAACCAGTTTAATAGCCCTTCTCTGAACCCTCTCTGAGGTCCTTCTGAAGATACGGTCTCCAGTACTGTGTACAATACTCCAAGTGAGGTCTCACCAGTGTTCTGTACAATGGCATGAGCACTTCCCTCTTTCTACTGCTAATACCTCTCCCTATATAACCAAGCATTTTGCTAGCATTTCCTGCTGCTCTGTTACATTGTCTGCCTACCTTTAAGTCATCAGAAATAATCACCCCTAAATCCCTTTCCTCATATGTTGAGGTTAGGACTCTATCAAATATTCTGTACTCTGCCCTTGGGTTTTTACGTCCAAGATGCATTATCTTGCACTTATCCACATTAAATGTCAGTTGCCACAATTCTGACCATTTTTCTAGTTTACCTAAATCATTTGCCATTTGGCTTATCCATCCTGGAACATCAACCCTGTTACATATCTTAGTATTATCAGCAAAAATACATACCTTACCATCAAGACCTTCTGCAATATCACTAATAAAAATATTAAAGAGAATGGGTCCAAGTACAGATCCCTGAGGTACCCCACTGGTGACAAGTCCAAGCTTCGAATATATTCCATTAACTACAACCCTCTGTTGCCTGTCACTCAGCCACTGCCTTACCCATTCAACAATATTGGAATCCACACTTAAAGATTGCAGTTTATTGATAAGCCTTCTATGTGCAACAGTGTCAAAAGCCTTACTGAAATCTAGGTAAGCAATGTCTACTGCACCACCCTGATCTATAATTTTAGTTACCCAATCAAAACAATCAATAAGATTAGTTTGGCATGATCTCCCTGAAGTAAACCCATGTTGTCTCTGATCTTGAAATCCATGTGTTTTAGATGTTCATCAATCCTATCCTTTAACATGGTTTCCATCACTTTCCCCACTACTGAAGTAAGGCTTACTGGCCTATAGTTGCCCGACTCCTCCCTATTACCTTTCTTGTAAATGGGCACAACATTCGCTAACTTCCAATCTTCTGTGTATATATAATAGTTATAAGAGATAAGGTAGAGAGAGAGTGTCAGGTTGCTTGAAAAAATGGGGGATAACCCCTAGCTATTGAACAACAAAAGAGAAAGAGATATCAGAAAACCCACCAGGATGCATAAATACAATTGGTACACCAATGGGTATCTGATGAAAGCAACCCCTAATTAATTAAAATATAACTTTTAATATAAATACAAAATAAAAAAGCACAGTGGCTGCCTTTATAGAGAAAATGTCCTATCTAAAGTTGGTATGGCTAGTGAAAGGAGAAAGGAGGCTGAGAGTAGATAAGCATAAAAAATCAGAAATATCTCAGTATCTGATTGATAGCACAGATAGAAGTAGGACAGAGAGGGTAATTAGTGTATTAGAATCGATTTCCAACTTCCCTCCCTGTTAACTCACAAGCCCTTAATATCGAGCCCCCCAAATTCCTGCACTAGTCTAATAACCAACTGAAAAAACAAAAAATTCATCTAAAACTCAAAAGAGTGTAAAGAATAAACGTAAGTGGAAGGTGGCTAGGTACTGATCTATCTAATGATCACAAATACAGCGTCGTCCCTGTCTGTCTTAACCACCCTTCACACTGAAACGTCCCGACGCGAGTTTCGCCGAAAAAACGGCTCTTCCAGGGGAGGGAAGAGCCGTTTTTTATATCATATATATATGATCTAAGTATATATTATTTTTCTTTACAGTTTTTAACTTCAATTTTTTTTTTTTCCAGACAGCAGGGTGACTACCTGAAATTACATGTAGCCCCCCTGCTGGCAATGCAGCAGGCAGCTAACTCGGCCATGTGATTGTGAGGAACTCACTCTAACATGGCAGGGGGGGCTGCAAGAAGGAAGATCTGCCACGGGGGGGGGGGGCTCCCTGGGAGTCCCCCCAACCGCGATCGCCGGCGTGGGACCGCCGGCGACCAGGTAAATAATGAAAGACCGGAGGGGTTAAGCAATATGTTCTCAATAAATATTATGATGTACTGTTTCTTTAAATGTCAATTCTTATATATTTATGTATTAAGGTATTTTATTATGGCATTTTTTTGTTAGCTATACGTTTTTAAGCTATATATTTTTTTAAAGTAGGCATCGTTATGTTTTTCACTTTATCTATGTTCAAAATTGACTTTTTTTGAATTCTTTATTTTTGTTGTGCATGTAGGTACAGCAATGCTTGAATTGCCACAACAGCATTCTCAAGCACGTTTTGTGTAAAAACATAGTATAACATGAATATGGCACGAGTACAATTTGCACATTTTAAATAATTAGTGGTTCAACATCATAACAGTATACTGTGACAACAGCGTTCACAAGTGGATCATTCAACAAGGCATAAATTGTTATGAACATTGGGTGCTGTTACGTTTCTACATTTAGATTATGCTGCACAGTTTTATATTAAGGTGAAAAACAGGATATGCTCATGTGTCTAGGTGCATGGCTGCAGTTAGTTACATTGGGTTCATTATAAGCAATTACATCAATATATGTGTTATAGTCGCTTGTCAGGAACGGGTGAGGTACAGGGTTAGTTAAAGCGTTATAGCTTAAAATAACATGAGATGAGTGCTAGAGAGTAATGCATTGCTAATTAGGTTTAAGATGTGTTTCTTGCTAGCAAGATAACTAGCTCTGGTGCAGGCAAGGTTAGGTGTGCACACTGTGTTGGGCATGTGGTGCAGCGTCCCTTATGAGTAACTCGCTGCTGTGCCGACCGGTTTAACCGATCCCCATCAGTTGCAGCGTCGGTGCCCGGTGCAGTAGCCGGTGGGGGTCCCCCCTCTCGGCGCTCCTCCTTCTCTCAGCCTGGATGAAGTCTGGGTGCGGAGCGGCCCCGTTCCCCTGTCTTGTGGTGAGCCGGTAATGTGCTTGGTGTCCGTTGTGGGGATTGCGGTGGCTGGAGGCTTCTGTTGAGGCATTGTGATGGGTATATGGAGGTCCCCCCTCTTGCCCCAGTGTCTGTGAGTAGCTGTATCGGGCTGGGTTGTGCCTGGGGATTGGAGAGCCCCTGCCATGGTATCTTTGCACAAGGATGGGTAGTGGTCCCCGTGGGGGAAGGGGGCATTTGGTTGGGTAGTCAAAGCATTTTTTGCCATTTGGTAAGTTGTCTCCCCACTAGTGGCCTGTTATTGACCTATGGAGGCTTGCATCGGGCCTCCTGCCTTCTACTCCCTGCCTTCCAGACTGTGGTGTGGTTCCCCGCCCCCCCACGGAGCTGCTGGCTGTAGCGTGGCGACCTGTGGGGATGTTGCTGGTGGTGCCTCCGCTAGAGCCCAATTGCGGGCTGAAAGCTTGGCCCAAAAGTCGGCTAGCAGGTGGTACAGCCATTCCGAGAGTAGTGGCAGTGGAGGATTGTGTTCTGGCTGGCACGTGGCATCCACCATGTTGTACAGCGCCGGGCATTCAGTGCAAGTACGCCCGGGTTAGGGCCGCGCACCTAGGTCGTGAACAGTGTGCCGGGATGTCCCTCTCCGGCAGGGGGGGTGGAGGGAGACCTCCAACTATATTGGCTGTTTTTAGCAGAGGGATCGGCCGCTTCCCCCGTGCTGTCTGTTTAGGCCGCTTGTAGGCCTCAGGTCGATCCTATGCTTTGTCTCTGTGGTAAGCCTGCGTCTCGATGGTTGCAAAACAAACAAATTTAGGTCTCAGGGTCGATTTTTAGTTTAGTTCAAGCTTTTTCAGTGAGGAGCTCTTCTGATGTGCGGCCGTTTGGCTTGGCTGCTAGGCTCCCCCCCTTAAAATGGACTTTTGAAGTACGTGAATGGACTATTTGTTATAATATTCCATTAATCCCTTAAGACTGCAGCCAAATGTACAAGTTGATCAAAACAAAAAGTAAACAAAACCTGGCATTTGCGCTATATGTCTGTCCAACCGTAATTCACCTCTTTCATATTAAATGCACCCACACTTATTATACATCATTTTTTTCAGGGGAAACAGGGCTTTCCTTTAACATCAACTATTTAGGTATGGAACATAATTTAATATGAATGAAATATAAAAAATGGGAGAAAATGCGATTTTTTTAAATTTTTCCTAGTTCTACTTGACATTTTTGAAGGAATTGAAACAGTTAATCAGTTAGTATTGTAAAAGTTGAATTATTTTGCAAATCTAGTAGCAAGCTCTTTAGCAGAACCACTTACAAAACATAACTGAAAGGAAGTCACAAGCTATAACAGTTTCTATGTAACAGGATGCGCTTAGCAACAAAGTAAATGTGGTATTTTGCAAGATTAGATTATTGCACGTAACAGCAGAAACGACTTCCTTTTTATACATTTTATGTACATTTTTTTTTAAGTCTAGTTTTTTTTGTTTTTTAATTCTTTATTTTTTTCAGTGCATAAGAGTGGTACATGTGGTTCTGAGGTGCCACAAAAGCAATCCTCAGGCATTTCCTCGCTTAACATGTGGGGCATAGAAGTAACAGGCACAGTTTTATATTTTAGACAGGCTTGGTTAAGTAGATTTACACCGATTATAATAGTAGAGGTAACATGTTAGTAATATGTGGATCACATAAAGAAAATATGTACACAGAGTTATGCAGGTGAGTAATCTCATCGATAGGGAGACATATTTGTGTTTGAAAAAACAGAGTAACATGATATACTATCGTTGATACTTCAGCAGGGCAGCCGTTAGAGTATGCTAGACTAATCAAAACAGTGTCTTGTAAGTGAACGTAAGTGATTGTAGTTGCATGCACCGGTAGGTATTAACTTTCCTCTGATACAAAGCAAATATAACTTCGTTGGTGATAACTATTCTATGGGGACTAAAGGGGACTAAAGGGGGGAAAGGGGACAGCAAGACAGAAGACAATCAATGGATAATCAGGGACAGTAAGCATAATATCAGTATGCCAGCTTGTTGCAAGTGTCCCCATTCACCCTATACCAGAGGTCGGCAGGCTTTCAGCATAGGTCTGGGAGCATTCAGAGGCATTCCGTGCAATAGCTGTCTCCTGTCTTGCGGCTGTACAGTTCCAGCTGCGAGCAGCCGCTTGAGCTGGCCTCCCGGCTTGTCTGCGTGCATGTCCCTGGTCTTGTTGAGCGGGCTGCGGTACGTAGTCTCGTGGGTGTGCTCGGTATTGCGAGCCGCGTAGACTCGTCCACCTTCGAGTGCCAATACGCCTGGCTTGTTGGAGTCTGCTCCTCCCGCTTTTTCCTCCTCACGGGGGTGTTGCCGAGACCTCTATGCTTGTCAGGGCTCTGATGGGCAGCAGTGGGTGCATGCCTCTCGGGTGCGATGGCTTGTTGCTGGTGTGTAGCCTGTATACTTGTCCCGGTCGAGTGCTGCTCAGGGTGTATGGCCCTGGCTGGTTGTCTTGCCGTGGGTGTTCTGGGTTTCTTCCCGAGATTTAGTGGCTGAGGCAGCCGGTGTTTATGTGCTAGCTTAGCCCAGAACTGCTCCCACATGGCTTCGAACCTTGCATTAAAGGCTGCCTCCCAGTCGCTGGGGGTCTGTTGCGGTGTTTGGGTGATGATGCCATCAGCCATTTTGATCGGGCCTCGTGGCTCTCTCTTGTCCGCCGTGCGCCTAAGTGCAGCGCTTGGTTGAGTATTATCCGCTCTAGTGTGTGGACCGGGATGACCCACACCGGTCCTGGGGGGGGAGGCGGGAGACTTTTCCCTGGGATTTCGTTCCCTGCTCTCGTGCCCGTGGAGCGGCAGTCTCCTCGTGGCTCGGTAGCGAGTAGGCCGCAGGCCTCGATATGTTCGGTCTGCTGGTCCAGTGCTTGGGAGAGGTACCGTTCTATGCAGCAGCCCCTCCCAGTTGTGGATCTCTTGGTCTGCAGCTTGTGGGTAAGAATTTGTGGGTTTAATTCCCAGTATTCTGTCCCCAGACATGGGAGCTCTCTCCAAACACGTCTGGGCTGCTTGGCTGCATGGCTCCGCCTTTATGTACATTTTTGTAACCAATGTTCGTGACAAACACTGTATAAGTACAGAGCATTTTTAATACATTGTCAGAAGACTTTTAGAAAGCAACCTTGTGTCTGCCTTGTTATTCTGCTTCCATAACCTGTCCCTGAATTCAGCTGACAATCGAGGGTTGGAGAATCATGGCCACGGACCGAGTCACCAGATTAGCAGATTTACCTTTCAATTTTAACTGTGAATGTCAAATTACTGTTTGCTTTTACTGAAATAAAATACACATATTTGTATTCAGTGATGTCTCACGTGTAAAACAGTAAACTGCTTTGTTCAGGTTTTATGGTGTTTTGGGAAGTTACAGGGTCAAATATAGCATGTTACACTTTTCAGTTTTTTCACATTGAAATTTGCCAGATTGGTTACGTTGCATTTGAGACTGTATGGTAGCCCAGGAATGAGAATTACCCCCATGATGGCAATACCATTTGTGTGTGTTAAAATTTGTTTGTGTGTGAAAAATGCAAATAAACTAATTTGAACGCCAATTTTGGCCAGTGTTTGTGACAAAGTGGCTACTAAAAAAGACTGAACATACCCCATTTGCAATACCTTGGGTTGTCTACTTTTGCAAATGGTAAGACATCATGGGGGTAATTCTCATTCCTGAGCTACCATACGGTCACAAAGGCAACCTAACAAATCTGGCTAATTTCAATGTGAAAAAACTGAAACACAAGCCTTTTATTTGACTATGTAACTTTTGAAAACACCATAAAACCTGTACAAATATTTGTATTTCAAAACAGTAAAAAGTATTACAGCAATAATATCGTCAGTGTGCCATTTGTGCGTGAAAAATGCAAAAAATTTCACTTTCACTGACGATATCATCGTTGTAATACATTTTACAGTTTTGAAACACAAATATTTGTGTCCAGCGATGTCTCCCGAGTATAACAGCTCCCCACATGTACAGGTTTTATGGTGTCTTGGAAAGTTATAAGGTTAAATATAGTGTTAGCAAATTAAATTCCCTATACTTTCGGCCTGGGTTGTCAGGCAGGTCCCGCAACTTGTAATTAATAAAAGGACCTAATTATGTAAAATTATTACATAAATACATATGTAAAATATGTGTTTACCATGTGTTAGACGATTTTAATATCGTCTGACACATGGAGCTGCAACATTTTCCCGCTGCAGATCGTGGTCGGGGGATCGTGGTCGGGGGACTGCGATCTGCAGTGTCAGAGTTACTATGCGTCAGCCTATGTTTCTGTGTGTATGTACGTCTGTGTGTGTGTCAGTATGTCTGCCAGGATATATTTGTATGTCAGTGTGTGTCAGTATGTATCTGTGAATGTATTAATGTCTGTCTGTGTGTATCTGCCAGTACGTCTGTCTGTGTGTGTGTCAGTATGCCTGTGTGTGTGTGTGTCAATGCGTCTGTCAGTGTATGTGTCAGTGTGTGTCAGTATATCTGTCAGCGTATGTGTTTGTGTGTGTGTCAGTATATCTGTTAGTGTCTGTGTATGTATGTATGTATGTCTGTGTGTGTGTCAGTATGTCTTCCAGTATATATTTGTGTGTCAGTGACTGTGTGTGTCAGTATGTATCTGTGAATATTTTAATGTCTGTCTGTGTGTATATGTGCCATTACGTCTGTCAGTGTGATTGCGGGTTGGGCGTAATTGGGGGGTGAGGCGGTGGGGGGGGCAGGGCCCAGGGGGCCCAAGAAAATGCATTGCCCGGGGTCCTAATCATATTATAGACGGCCCTGTCCACAGCCAGCTATAAGGGGCCATGTGATCGCTCTTTTGAGGCAGCCCTCCAGAAGAGGATTGCTTTAAAGCCCATTTAATGCGGGACAGCATAGAACACCGTAACGACATTAAGAGGTTAATATTAAAATACACTTAGACAGTGTTGTGGATAAGAAATGTTGATCTTTGTTATATTCAGAGGAAGGCCAAATTGTTGTTACAAGTGCACTTGGAGAAGCGAGAATTAGACACCAGACACCTGTTGGTATTCAAAATAAGCCTCTGACGTTTTATTCATCAGCTGGGTTTTATACATTAAAAAGTAAGTGCTTACGTGCAAATACTCTTAGAACAGTAATAGGAAGAGAGTACAGATAAGACATAGGGATGAGCGTCATGTACACATAACAAATAAGTTTCAAGGTAAGAGAGAACAAAATGATT